TATTTATTTATTTATTTATTTATTTATTTTGGTTCCAAGGATCGAACTCAGGACTTTGTGCTTGCCACGACAGCCACTTATGCCACGGAGCTATCTCCCTGGCTCTAAACAATTGTGTTTAAAGGTAAACATAAGAAATAGTGAGCAGCTCCAGGCTGTGATCATCTCTTCTCTCTTCCTCCAGTTCAACTGAGTCACACACTGTGGAAAATTGGACCAGTAGGGAGACTGCTGTGACATAAGAAATGATCCCTCTCACCAGTTACATGACAACCGACATGAGTTCATTTGTATTCTGTGAGTCTATGGATTAAACCACTGTTTAAAAACATGGCCTTAGAATTTTAATTTCACTCCTTTAAAATATATATTTAATGGCTATAACATGATAGCTGTGAAATAAACCCTTCTGTTAGATATTGTAACCATGAAATATAGCTTTTTAACTAGTTGGCGGTAGAATTCCCGCTGCATTCAATCACTCAATGACTGAAATATTAAACAGGAGAGTGAAAGTGTGTGGAAAAAGCCCTTCCTCTCCAGCAACAGCCAGATTACAACCATCAAGGTCAACTGCACAATGACTGTCACCTCTAATGTGGCAATTACTGTCCTCCCAAATGGTCTGCTACTGACTCAAAGCCAACAATTTCTTTAATTTTCCCGACTCATCTGCAAGTGACTTTGGGAAACTGCATATCAGCATTATTCTTGTTATGCTCCTGGGTGCTGACAGCAGAAAGGATTCCTGCCAAAGTCTCAAGCTGAACTTGGGGGGCCAGTGCCCTTCCATCAAAAACCTGGGAGATAGAGGGCATCCCTGGCTCTCAACTGGAAGCTAAAAAATGACATTTCTGCCTCTGAAATCTCTCTTTCTCCTGTTGTTTGTTTTTTGTGCTGGCCATCACACCCAGGAGCTTAAGCATGCTAGGTAAGTACTCTATCATGATCTCAGCCATTACTTTGTCTCTTACAGCAGAACTTGACTTGCTTTGAAATGGTGATGCAGTTGGTTAGAAAATACCTCCTTGGACTCCCTTGCAGCTAAGTGGCTGGTAACCAAATGAATTAGAAACACAGGTCTACAGGGAAAGCAGCTGGGAAAACTGTGCCTATAATTCCAGCAGTTGGGAGGCTGAAAACGAGAGGATCACTATGAGTCTGATCTGTGTAGACAGACCCTGTAGATCCTATACTAAATACCAAAAACAAACAAAAAGATGAGCAAACAAATAAACAAAACAAAACAAAAAAAGAAACTTTTTCAGGAACAGTGGATGTTCAGCTGAGCACTATTGGCCTTTGGATTTTATTGTTCCTTTTAAAAAATAATCCTCTCTCTGGTTAGGATATTGTAGAATGTTTTTTATGATATTCAATCACAATGCAATCCTAACTTATATGAGGTGATAGAGGAGAAGTGCTTAGTATCAAGAAACATGCTTTTCTCTTCATGGGCAATTAATGTTAGGTAGTGGTCTTGGTTACTCTTCTCTCGTTGCTGGGACAAATACTCAACACTCAAGCTTGGGGAAGGAAAGATTTATTTAGCTCACAGTTACTGGAGGTTTCAAGACACTGAAGGAGAGCCTGGCGTGCTGCCGTGTCCAGGATGATCCGCTCCACACCTCCCTGGAAAGCACATGCTAGCCAGTTTAACGGTTTGGTTCGTGCCTCTCTGGCCCAGCCCCTCAGGCCGCCCTGATCCTCTGGCCCCGCCTCTCAAACCATTCTGCTCCTCCAGCCAGGTCTACCCCATAACTTACATGAGGCTTTGGGGGGACAACTAGACATAAACCATAACAGTAGTTGACATACTTCTCATGTTACTTTGGCTGCTAGGAAACTTAAACTCAAAAGTTGTTCCCATTTTCAACCTTGTGCTTTAACATATATTAAAACTAATTATGAATTATTATTCTATTTGTACTTTACTGTTTGATCGTGTATATTTTTCATGTTACTTTCAATGTTGGTGGAATGAAGCAGGGTGTACAGTTTTTGCATGTACATATATAAAGAAGGCATACACATGTTATATGTTAGGAAGTGTTGAGTAGTTGCTATGCTTTTATGCACTGTACTGAGTATTTTTTTGTAGCGTCAAATTGAACTCATAACCTTACATATGCCAAGCAACTGCAAGTGCTCTACCATTGAGCTACATCCCCAGCCCTTTTTTTTTAATTTGTACTTTAATACAGAGTCTCACTAAGTCACTATTTTGCCCAAGCTGGGCTTGGATTTGCTATCCTCAAGCTTCAGCTTCCCAAGCGGCTAGATTACAGGTATAGGCTACCATCCTTGGTTGTCATTTTATAGGCAGAGATTAGATATTAGATTAAACTCCTTAGTGTTAGTCCAAGTAGCCACAATCAGGTTTTTGAAGCCTTCACAGTTAAATCCATCAGTCTTTCTATTTTTCAGTTTTCTACATACTACTGCCCCGAAGGAGATTAATATTGAGTGTTTCTCAGATTCTGTCCCTTCTGCACATCAGGAAGGTGCAGGCAACAGTCTGCGGTTGCAATTTCCCCTTGATATTTCTTTGGTGGATGAACTGTAGGCATTAGAAGTAGAAGATAGTTGTCAGTGCACAGAACATACGAACTGAAGAGCAGGACAAGAGAAGTACTTGGACCTTGAAGGCTACGACATCATACTCATTTCTTAAAGGATGGAGATATACAGCTCTGGGCTATGTAAGAGACATTCAAGAGGAAGGATCTTACTCCCTTGCCAGGAGGAAGTGACACTTGAGCATAGGCGTTTGAGGCCAGCCTGGGCAACACGATGTGACCTGTCCCATAATTTAAAGGCGAGTGGGATCTGAGAAAGGGAAGCAGGAAAGCAAAGTTTCCCGGGAGGAGATGGGTGAGTGATGATTTCCTGAACGCCACCCATTTCGTGGTCTGGAGAGGCCAAGGGAATCAGATTACCAGCTGAGGAATTTGTTCAGAGTTTCTACTGTGATATTAATTCCTGAAATAAATATTTATTAAGTGCATGTAAGTGCCAGACCCTACTCTAGGCACTGGAGAAGCTTCAGGGAATAAAAAGACAAAGGCCCCAGTCCTCCTGGAGCTTATATTCCAGCAGGGGGAAAGAAAGAATGTACCTAATAGAGGAAGACACACAGTATGCTAAAAGATAAATGTTATAGAAATAACAAAAAGTGGAGCAGATAATAAATGCTGCCTACTTAGGACATCTATGAATGTCCAGTGTGCTGAGCATTTGAATGCATTACTCCATCCAATCTTTTCCAAAATGGTGAGGTTTCCACTTTACAGAGAAAGAACTGAGGCCAAGGAAGAATCTCATCAAAGGTTTTATGGCCATAAGCAGAAGGGGACCTGAACTCAGTTCTGTGCCCCAACTACACCCACACAGCTTGAGGAAGCCTCAGGAAGCACCATTTTTCTTACCCAACTTCCATCCTTGTCTGAAGAGGGTTTGAAGTGTCTGCCCTTGACCATTCTCGCCAGGATCCTGAAGGTGGCTGAGGTTGGTTCCCTCACTTTTCCAGGGTCTCAAAAGCGCCACACACCCACTCTTCCTCCTGATCCCTGGTTTCTACTTCTTGGCATCTGCCAGGAGACAATGCCAGGGTTGTCACTGTTGCTACAGAGCAGAAGCCCACATCACAATAGGTGGCAGAACCTTCCATGGCCTCTGAGAATTCCTGCCCCTGGCTCCTTCCAGCTAAAGCTTCCCAAATCAGGAAGTAGATAGCCATAAGGTCCTGACAGAGGAAGCCCCAGAAATGAGTCAGTCAGGTGAAGACAAGATGATTATGAGGTACTAAAAAATATTTTGCCCCCTTTAAATCCTGAAACCAATCATATTTGTGGTAATGTGCCCATGGTAACCCTCTGTCCCAACTTCTTATCTGAGAGAAGTAATTCAGCTGCAGTGACCTCATCTACAGGGTGGGTGCTGCCAAGCCAGGACCCAAGCCAATTGCTACCTCCTTTCATAGCTATGTGTCCCAACTCAGACCCAGCCTGGGACACTCTGACAACTACTCTCACCTGTCCGGCAGAGCACGGAGGCCACAAAGAAGGAACCTCCACGAATAATTTTTATAAGCCAGGGGTTTGACTAATGAAACACTTTCCATGTTTTTATTTTATGTATTTTCTATGAAAGCCTTCGATCTTGACAAATAAGGAAATAAGGTCACATGGCCAATAGAATAGTAGAAGATCAAACCAAGGTCACTGGACAGTTCCAGAGCTTGTGAGCCTTTCCAAGGGCCACCTGGCCACCCTGAGGCTGTGCAGGCTGTTCCTGAAACCTGGCGAACGAACCTTCCTGGGCCAGGAAGGTCCTGTGTCGCTTCTGCTCAGGGACTTGACTTCTGCTTTTCCTTTTCCTTTGCTAAATGCAATCTGGAGAATTCTCATGGCTATCTCATGCGAAAATAAGAGTGAACATCCACAAAAGACACTGCCTAGCTTCCTATTCTGCTAAGAAATTGTATCCTCCACTCCTGCCTCCCTGAATCATTTCCCTAGGGGCTAGCAAGAGTTGCCATGGTAGCAACAGGGGACTTTATCATCTGCCAGCACTGACATCCAGAGAGGTGGGCTACTGTGTGAAGCCAGAAGTGCAGCAGTACTATTGTAGCTTTGATGCCAAAGCCAGAGCTAGGAAGAGAGGAGAAGGACATGGACAGCAGGAGTTGCTGGTTCTCGGAGCCGCTGCACCAGCCCCAGACATGATGGGTATAGTATAACCTTCTTGGGATTCTGCCACCTGCAGACAAACCCAGTATACCTGATCCTACAAGTCTTTACCTGGCTTTACCAGGTATTCCCACCACTCTACGGAGCAGTGGTGCAAGTATATCTCCAGCAGCGGCACAAGAGGCCTATTGTTCTTTAGCCTGGCCAGCTCCTGTTCATTCAAAACAGGAAACCTAAATAATACAGGCTTAAACATGACCTTTATTTTCTCTCTGTCCACGGCTCAGTGTGGTGGCTGCATCATACAGGGTCCACAGAGATGTGGCTCCCTCCTGCCTGTTACCACTCAACCAACTCCAGAAGGCAGCTGTCATCTCTCTCCAGATGTGGCATCTGCATTTCAGGCAGAACAGGGGATTGAAAAAAATGAGGCAAAGATTGGATCCCAATGTATTATTTTGGGCCAGTGGCAGCCTTCTGATTCATGACACACACATCTCATAAACTCAGTCGCTTCCTTCTAAGAAAGGTTCCTGCAGCTGTCGCACAGTCTTCCTCTCTTGGCTGGAACTTGAGCTACAGGGCCACATTTTTCTGTGAAAGAGGCTGTGAAGTAAGTTTTGTTCTGTTGGGGTCATTTTCTCCATGGAAGTTATGTCACCATGCAAGAGACAGCAAACCAATACTAAAGGACAACCCAGAAACTGCCGCCCTGATGGTAGCAGACACCCAGAAGGTTGTCTGAGCTTGAATTTGAATTTCTGTAAATTCTAACAAGAGTGACCCTGACTTCCTATTGACAGTGATAGCAGCATGTCAGGGTCTGAAGTAGTGATTCAGCCTGGGCCCGTGCAGAGGTAAGACCGCAGCTTTTAAGCATGTGATAGAGGACAGAGGATAGAGGAAATTAGCTGGCTTTAAACCTAGCATAGAAGGTTTAAACCTGACTTTAAACCATACATGTACATGTATCTTAGGCTGGGAGATGAAGGGGATAAAGCTAGCAGTTGGATTTATCCAATGGGAATTGGAAACTGAGGCCAGGTTCAATGCAGATCACATGATGGTCCATTACAGCTCCTTGACCCTGTTAAATGACTGAGCAATGACTTTACAAGAAGATCTCTTTCGGGCTGGTGAGATGGCTCAGTGGTCTAAAGCACCTATTTAGAACAAGCTTAGCAAAGCACAGGGACCGCAGTTCAATTCCCCAGCACCACATGCCAGCCAGCCCCGCCCTCTGGTGGGCTGAGCTGGCCACACACACACACACACACACACACACACACACACACACACAAATAAATAAATTTTTTTAAAAAAAAAAGATCTCTTTCAATTCCCTCTCTTGATGTGCATAAAGCAGTACTTTTAAAATGCCTACAATTTAGCCACAGCTCCCTCTAAGGCATGCTCTTGTAGGTTCAACTAGTTGACATCATGTGCTACTCCAGGCCCTTGCCATCAAAGCAAAGCAGGGCAGTATCGCAAGAGAGAAAGTGAACAAACAGTGCAGAACTCTGCTGTCCTGCACGTAATGTTAAAAGTGAAGCCAGTCGCAGGGAGGAAGCCAGAGAGCTACAGTGCACAAGGCTCAGAATGGTGTCGGTGCCAACACTTTTCATGGGAATCCACTTTCTCTCCACCAATGGAGCACAAAATTTTTAGAACTGAAAACTCATTTTGGAATATATTGTGCCTCTCCTCTCCCCTCCCCTCCCCTCTTCTCTCTTCTCTCCACTTATTCTTCTGCTCTGTTAAACAAGATACACGGACATTGATTTAGGTGTATTCCAACTTTTCCTCTTTTGAGTGTTAAAACTAGCAAATTTGTCCAAGAAAATCAAAACAGAATAAAGAAAACTTGGCCAGGCAAAATGAAATTTAATTTTTCTTCAGCTAGGATTTCTTGATCATAGATGAGGATAGGGCTGTTCATTTGTTGATGTTATTATTTTTGGAAGCTTAAATTACTGGGCTGCACTTTGTGACCCCACTATTCTGAAAACAAGTCCTGTAGCACGTAGGGTATAAGAATGGTGGAGGGGCAAGCTTGGCCGTGCCTTGTGCCTTTGAGCATGCTGGGCCCTGCTCAGTATGTAATAGTTCAAAACCGACTCCCAGAGGGTAGCTATAAGGGCAATAGAAATATACAACACAGTTTGTTTCTTCAGTAAATATTACTGCATACCTGCCATGTGCCAGCACTGTTTTAGATAGCACTAAAGCAATCACCAAAAATCAGTTCTTAACAAATAGCAAATCATTACTTTAGCAATATATCTAATGACCTGTTCCACAACATTAGTCACTAGCCAAAATCCATTTTCATTGATTTATATACGTTTATAGCAAAATGCTTCATCTAATGTATTTTTCGACATGAGAGTATTTGTATACTTTGTATTTTAGATCTTTTACATCCACATCAAAAGTGTGAAGGATTTTATGATAGGTAGATATGCCCAACTTTCATGCCTTTCCAAGGCAATATGTCACTCCTTGTTTTAATTAATAATCTGTTGCTTTTGCAGGAGAGAAAGTGGTAGAATTCTTGTTGCTACACAGGAATGATTTCACACATGTGTGCATGTGTCCACACCATAAGCAAACCCACAAATGCTCAAATTCAGCACACATGGGCAAACCATAGCTTCTTGTCCTACTAAATAAAATTTTTAGTTCATACTCACAAATCCTGGACAATTACACACACACTTGGGGAAAGACAATCTTTTTGCATGTAAAATGTTGGCCATCTAAGAAATATCAAATATATGCACAATAAAGCGTGTTTTTTGTTTCACCCTGTAAAGGTGACTCTAGATTCTTTCCACAAATAGAAAGCAAGTCAAGGAGACTCCATTGCACTTATTTTTATTACAATACATGATTGATTTGGTACTAATAGAAATTATAATGCAGGCACCATATGTTTGTACACTATCTTGAAAAGTACTCAGGCATCAGTAACGTGAGGTGCATTTTTTATGTCACTGGAAGTTGCAAACTATCTGAAAAATTAACTGTGTCTCTCCCTATACTCAAGAAAGCAAATCCTGGATCATGACAAGTGAGACTGGAAGACAAGAAGGATGAGTTGACCAACCAGAAATTTCATTAAATGGAAAGGTAGAAACTCATATATTTGTGTCTAGTTATCTGCCCAAAGCCTCAGGTAGACATTGATTGAAGAAGGCTTCTGGAGTTTGTGATTAATTCATGATCCAATGCTGGGATTATGGGTGTGAGTGCTACACCCGTCCTGGGGCCAATAGTTTAAATACAACGTAAGAAAGGGAGAGAGGCTTGTTAGCTGCCGCAGCTGCTGCTTCTCCTTTGCTCTTTGCTGTTTTCCGCTACCACGAACTGCTGTCCTCTGCCATGTGCCACTCTGCCTTGGAGCCAGCTGAGTATGGACTGAAACCTCCACTAACTGTGAGCCAAATAAACCTTTCCTTCCTTAATTTTGGGTGTTGGGTATTTTTTTCCAGCAATGAGAAAAAAGTAATTAATAATGAATATATATATGTATATATATATATTTTTTAAGTAGTATTTTATTTATTTATTTTACATTTATTTATTGTGTGTGTGTGTGTGTGTGTGTGGCCAGCTCAGCCCACCAGGGGGCGGGGCTGGCTGGCATGTGGTGCTGGGGGATTGAACCGCGGTCCCTGCTTTGCCGAGCTTGTTCCAAGTAGGTGCTTTAGACCACTGAGCCATCTCTCCAGTCCCTATATATATGTTTTAACTCAGCCTAACTACATGACACTTTGAATCTAAATTCCATGTGACATTGTCATTGTACTGGCTGAATTTCTGATGACCTGGTTGAAATAAATATGACTTTCTAGAAACTTTTCAAATGTTTTTTAGAAAAGTTTTTGATTAATTGATAATTGAGAGATTTGGTTACTCCAGGAAGTACTGCTGGGCTGGGGCTATGGCTCAATGGTAAAG